CCTCCATGTACAGGTTTGCAACAATAGGAGAAACTGGGGATCCCATGGCACACCCATGTTTCTGCCTATAATATTGTCAAATATTAGCTGAAGATCTGTAAAACTAGCTGAGCTGCAGCTGTTTAACTCTAATTTTTTTAAATAAATCTTTAGTTTGTCATGTTTGCTGCACATGCATTATCTTACCATAAAACAATAATTAAAAAGTACAGATTTCAGATGGAATCACCAGTTTGTTGAAGAGTGTTTGGAACTGCAGAGCCATGTGTTCAGGATGGGGTCCCTGCAGCATCAGCAGCACCTCCCTGTCCAGCGTCTCATCCAGCGGTGTGGTGGACCAGCGGTCCACTCCGTCTGCCACCTGGAGGTCAAAACAAGGGTTTTATATCACCGAGCTAAAGAGGGCCTCCTGCTGAGAGGCTGCATGGCTCCAAGGTTGTTACAAATGAAGGACAGCGCTAAAAAAAAACACTTTGTTTCTTTTTTTAGATTCTACAAACTAATGACGTACAGTAAAAGAGAAATCATGATTAACGGACACTTTATGATGTTAAAACAAAGTTCTTGGAATCTATTTTGGGATAAAAATGTTGTTTTGCTTTCAGATTCATTGAAAAAAAATAATCGAACAATAATCATAATAATCGTTAGTTGCAGATTTTATAATCTGCCACCTTAAAAACGATAGGAAATAAAGGGAATAAATCCAGGCTTCATTCTGTGTTTTTTGAAATTCGGTTGAATTTTCTACTTTGTGTTCAAACGGAGCTAAATACAAAGAACAAAAAGCAGCAGGACGTGATTAAAAACGTACAGCGTGCAAATCATTCAGTGTCCTCCTGAGCAGGTTCAAGAACCGACGTTCTTCTATTTATGTGCTTTGATTATTTTAAGGAGTTGAAACTGCAGCAAAATGAGAATTTAACGAATGAGACGAGGAAAATTTTGAAAAAACAAAAATAATAGAAGGTTTTTGCAACAATTCCTGATGTTTCCTCAGTTTGACCTGCAGACTGAGGGACGAGCTGCAGGAAACAGAGGTTGAGGAAGTGAGGGAGAACAGAGCGGCTGCTGACCTCCAGTGGTGACTGAGCCAGAGCCAGTTCTGTGTGCAGAGATCCTACGCTGCTCTGGTTCAGTCTGTAGGCCAACGACAGGCTGGCTCTGAGACGGAGGGAGGGAGGGGAGCACAGTGCATTAAAGGGAGATTAAAAAGACTGCATGTATTTTTTTTATCACAACTTTAAACATGATCATCTCTTCCACTTACCCAGCCAGGTCTGGGAGAATCATCTGCAGCTGGTTCTCCAGTTTGTTCTTATCCTTCCTGAGCAGCTGGAGCAGAAAACAGATAACAGAACCAAGCAAACACTCAGCAGGTGAGTTGTTTCCCACAAACTCATCTCTAATAAACTCACAGTTCTCTACTTGTTTCATTTACACCTCTAAAATAAAACTTTTACTCTTTGTTCCATCTTACAGTCTGAGGAGGCAGTAAAATGAGAATTTATTGACAAAATAAAGCACCAGGAATCCTCCAGCTAATCAGCAATAATTCTAAGTAGATAAGATTTAACATTCAGTTTGTTGATGCAATAAATCTTCAAGGATTTATTTATAACGCTTCAAAGTAGCACTCCTTGAAAGAAATGCATCACTCATCTTTAATTATGATTTGATGTGATCTGTTTAACATCTAATTTTAGCTCAACCTGCTAAATCGACTGCTTTATCATCATTTTTGTGTTGGCTAATGATCAGCTGGAGCAGTTATGTTCAGTTAGAATAACTCCAAGTTATTTGTTTCGGCAGGTTTCATTAAAAAGCCTCTAGTAGTTCATGAAATCCTTTTTATAACAAATAAAAACATGTTTCCTCGCCTTTTTGTCGATCCACTGACCTCTGTGATGGCAGAGTATTCCTCCACTGCTGCCTTCAGCTCATCTATCTGCCGGCTCTTCTGTTGGCCGGCAGCACAACGTGGAGTTTTGCAGAAAAGTAAAAAGTCAGTCAGTAAAGCAAAGCAAGCATCACGAAAAACAATGAAATAATTCTGATGCAGCACCGACCTCCACTGTAACAGACTCCTTCTCACTAATGACAGCATCGAGGGAGTGGATTTGTACCTGATAGGTGGAAAAAAA